TTTTTTTTTTTTTTTTTTTCTTTTTTTTTTTTTTTTTTTTTTTTTTTTTTTTTTTTTTTTTTTTTTCTTTTTTTTTTTTTTTTTTTTTTTTTTTTTTTTTTTTTTTTTTTTTTTTTTTTTTTTTTTTTTTTTTTTTTTTTTTTTTTTTTTTTTTTTTTTTTTTTTTTTTTTTTTTTTTTTTTTTTTTTTTTTTTTTTTTTTTTTTTTTTTTTTTTTTTTTTTTTTTTTTTTTTTTTTTTTTTTTTTTTTTTTTTTTTTTTCTTTTTTTTTTTTTTTTTTTTTTTTTTTTTTTTTTTTTTTTTTTTTTTTTTTTTTTTTTTTTTTTTTTTTTTTTTTTTTTTTTTTTTTTTTTTTTTTTTTTTTTTTTTTTTTTTTTTTTTTTTTTTTTTTTTTTTTTTTTTTTTTTTTTTTTTTTTTTTTTTTTTTTTTTTTTTTTTTTTTTTTTTTTTTTTTTTTTTTTTTTTTTTTTTTTTTTTTTTTTTTTTTTTTTTTATTTTTTTATTTTTTTTTTTTTTTTTTTTTTTTTTTTTTTTTTTTTTTTTTTTTTTTTTTTTTTTTTTGTTTGAATTCTTTGATGATAGTCATTCCAACTGGGGTGAGATGAAATCTCAATGTTTTTGATTTCCTGATGGGTAGGGAAGTTGCACATTTCTTCATGTATTTGTTAGCCATTGTACTTTTCTGAGAATTGTCTGTTCTGTTCATTTGAACTTATGAAAAAGTTGTTGGTTCTTTTGGAGCTTAGCTTTTTGAGTTCCCTGTATATTCTGGTTATTAATCTCTTGTCAGATGTGGAACTGGCAAAGATTTTTCTCCCATTCCATAGGCTGTCTTTACTTCTAGTGACTATTTCCTTTGCTGAGAAGAAGCTTTTGTTTGATGCAGTCCCATTTGTCAGTCCTTGCTCTTATTTGTTGAACTATTGGAGTTCTATTTTTGACACATTTTCTAATTTAATCAGCTTAACACTGGAAGAAGGGTAAGTTCACCCTTCCTAGTGTGCAAATGAGGAACCAGGCTTTTCACAGTGCTGGTTATGCAGTCTGCCTTCCCTCTATCTATTCTTTACCCTTCACTGCTCTGCTCTGTGCCTCAGGAGATCAGAGGGTGGGAGAAGTCAAGGTGTTTCTTTCCCACTTCCTTTCTCCTGGGGACCAGTTTTACAGCAGCTGCATCTCTCTGTGGAGTAGTTAGCAATGGCAGGCAGGCTTCCCTCCACAGTTCTCGTGGTTCAAACAGGAAAGCATCTTTTTGCAAGTACTGAAGCCCTGAGTTCAAACCCTAGTCCCACCCCCCAAAAAAATTAAAGGCCAATGAAAATACTTACTAGAGAATGTGACATTGTGTTAGGCCTTTAAAAATGGATCAAACATAGACAGTGGCTATGAAGGACAATTTCAAATATGAACAAAGACAGCAAGGCAAAAATCCACAGACCACATCCTGGGAGCAGAAGTGGCTCAGGCTTGGAAGTAAACTTATGGATAGTATTTGGCACAGCATATTTTATAGGATCTTATTATTTATGAAATGTTAATACCACATTCAAAAAAAGGATTCCATGGTCAATAAGATTGGGTAACCATGAGATACACGAGCTTAACCAGATTTTTTTTTTAAACTCAGGACTTCTCAGAGCAATTGAAGGCTCTAACCTTTATTTCACAATCTGTTAATATCTTCCAGAAGTATGGGAGGGAACAGAGTTTGGGAAACACACATTATCCGACAGGATTCTATGATTCTGTTAGACTCTTTGGTAGAGCAATTGAGAACACACTGTGTCAGCCAAATACAGAGTCTGCTCCAAAACCTTCTGCAGAAAGTCAATCAGGATGTCACAAATCATGGACAATGGTACCTAGAACGCCATCACCAAGTCACAGGATGAACAGAGAAATGTGACTAGTGAACAAATAGAAACCAAATTTATTATGCTGACTTGATCTTTACAGAAACAATGGTAAACAAACGTCAAACAGAAGTTTGGATTTATAGCTTAGAAAATATTGGAAACTCAGTAGTAAAATTTCATGTACAGTGTGTCCTGATCCTGTGGACTAGCAAGCCAAATTATTTCAGAGCTATAGCTTAAACCAATTATAATATTTTATTAATCCTTTCAATCATTTTTGACACAAAAATGTAATCTTTACTAGGAGCTCTCTGCTATCCCATAGAGGAAAACTTTGAAGACTACAAATAAAAAAGAAGTTTTAGTTCCTGTTCATAAAGTGCCCTGAACCACTTGAGTTAGAACATGTAAATGTGCAGAACAGAAGACGAACTTCACATCCAGAACTAAAGGATTTGGAAGGCTTCAGAGAAGAGCTGACAGTTGAGCTTGAAAGATGAGTAGAATTTACCAGACAGAAATGAAGAAACCTCATGAAAGACATTGAGTTTAAATATGCACATTCCATATTTAAAACAACATAAAAGCTTATTGCTTGTAGGAGAGAAAAGAAAGAATCCAATATTCATGGATAAAAATAAACATTTTGTTTTAGAAAACAAAAGAATTTTCCAAAAATGCTTTTCAGAAATTTTATGATACAATTCTCATTTTCTTTTTTGTCCTTAATCACAAAGCCCAGTATACAAGTTACAGGAATTCAGAGAAGCCCAGCACTGAGCTCTGGGGACTTTTCAAATTGGACCAGAGAAAATGAGAAACACATAATCATTTCAAAATGTTTCTAATTTTCAGTCTAGAATAGTGCTCACAGTATACAGGAAATTGCTAGTGCCAAAGCCTGTTTTTCTTCCTGATAGTTTTAGATCACTGTGTTCTTTAAAGTAGGATTAAAGTTCTTCTTTACTGTGTAACTCTTCTGCTTCTTGGAGGACCATGTGTATCAGAGTGACGATTTAACTCAGATATTTTATATATCAAATTTTAATAGTTATACTTTTACATATTTCTATTCAGTGTGGTGCCTGCTTATATTTCCAAGCACTTAAAATGAATAATCTCTATTGAACAAATACAGGAGTTTTTAGAAAGTTTGAAGAGTGGTACAAATATATTTGTTGTGTTTTATTACATGCTTTAAAGATTTTTTAGTGGCTTACTTTGTTAGCTTTTAAAAAATTATGAAAGTTGGTAGTGTTTTCTTTAACCACGTAAGATTTTAATTCCATCATTATAAAATAATCTATTTTTCTCTTAAAACAGTGACAAATGTATATGTTAGTGTTCGACAGAAATTTATTGAATGAATGAATTGATGATGCCACAGGGGAGATTGAAGGAGGAGACAAAAACTACAACTTCGGCACCCATATCAACCTGTAATTTTTGTAAATTCAACACTAAGAAATATGTTCTTCACAGTTAACCAGACCAGTGAAAGAAGATTTGAGGGTTAAACAACAGCTCTGAGATGAATTTCTTCTTAGAAACTTCTTAGCACTGATAATGTAGCAATTTGATCATTCATTCAGCAATTTTTAAAAATATGATAGTAATAATCACCATCATCATCCAAGAACTAAGTGGACAAGGACACCTCACACATCAAGAGAGTGGCGAGTCACAGGAAGCTAAAAGGTACCTGCAGTCACTCAGTCAGCATCCCAGAATACTCTCAGCAGCCGAGGAAATAGGACTTTAAGTTTTATTCGGGAAGAAAATTTATATATTCAATTCTCAATTTGTTTTGGTTTTATTCTCCAGTGGATTAAAAGCTGTAGTCTAAGTTTATATCTGGTTTTATGTCTATACTTTACTAATGGACAACTTTAAATAAAAATTTAAGCCAAGACTGGGGAGGTCTAAGAATGTTTTGCCCTTGAAATGGTGGACAATACTGGTTCCCCTTATATTTGAGAAACACAAATAGGCTTTCCTATTTAAAATCAATTGCAAACACAAATACATTAGGCATGTCATTAACACACTGGTGTATATTAGGCCCTCCCTTTCTGAAAGCAAGCTTTGACAGGAAAAAAGGAAGCTAAGCGGTTAAAAGAAAAAATGAGGCCTCAGTGCAAAATCTTGTCCTACCTTTCAACAGCTGTTTGACTTGGAGCAAGATTAAACTCTCCAAACCTCCAGTTCTTACTGTAAATTACTGGCAACCTGCAACCTCTACCAGGATGGCCTGTCATGCTGGCTGGTTCCCGGGAGGCGCTTAATAGGAGAATCTATATTCATGCCAATGTATTGGGAGTGTAAGGTAAGGCTTTATCATTAGGGCCTTCAATAGTGATTATCACTATTTAAGACAGGGAGCTGTGACCTCCTTAGGGTAACAGACGAAAGCAGGCCACTGGGCAAGGAGGTGGCTCCATCAGCTGGCGTCCTGCTGCCCCAGTAAAGACCAGGCCACGGGTCTCACTAGCCAGCTGTAGCACTTCAAAAGCTACCAAGCCCCGCTGTGATCCGGACCCACGCACCCAAATAACTGGGTATTGCCAGGGACTCCAGGTACTGGGAGCCTGGGGTACCGGTTCCTTGGACACAAATGAGACCACAGGACAGAGCCCGGCCACCACTTTCTTTAAAGGCGCTGGTGAGACGAGTTCACAGGTTTCCAGGGAAACCTCAAAGCTGCCCGGGGCTCCCGGGCGCCAGGTGCGGCCCGCACCCCCAGCTCTAGGCTGGAGGGAAGCGCCTTGGGACAGCCTCGTGTTCGCGAGCAGGCAGCAGACTCCGGGCCGCGAAGGCTGCACCCAGCCGGGGTGCGTGGTGCTCGGCGCGTGGGGGCCGCGGGTCCGGGCCAGGGCGGGTCCACCCGAGCCGGACCGGCGCTGGCTGGCGCCGAGGGCCGGGCGGGCCGGGCCGGGCCGGGCGGGCCCTGTGTCGCGGGGCCCACCTGCGCGGGGCCGCACGCGGCAGCCCGGCCCGGCGGGTGGGGAGAGGAGGGAGGGAGGGGAGGGAGGGGAGGGGGCGCGGCGGCGGGGCGGGAGGCGGGCGGCCGGGCCTCGGGAGGCGCGGGGGCGGACCCGGCCGCCCGCTGCCGCGCAGCTCGCCCGCCCGCCGCTCGCTCGCTCGCACTCGGTGGCGCTGCGACGCCGGCATGGGAGCCGCGCGCGCCCTCCGGCGCCCACACCTGTCTGAGCGCGCAGCGAGCCGCGGCCCGGGCGGGCTGCTCGGCGCGGGTGAGTGCGGGCGCGGGATGGGGGCGTCGCCGGGGGCCGGGGACCCTGGCGTGTGGAAGAGCGGGACAAAGGGCCGGGTGCACGCGAGGTGGGGGTGACTGCGGGCTGCTGGGGGCACCCGAATCCTCGCCCGGGCCGCCGTCCCGGCTTGAGGGCTGGGACGGGAGTCTGAAGGAGCTCGGGATGACGCGGGGCTGCGGGCGTTTGGATTGGCGCAGTGTCGCCCGCGGAGCGCACAGGAAGGAAGGTTTTGAAACTGCTGCCTTGGGTGCAGGGTCCGGGTGGGAGTAGAGGTGGAGTCGGCTCTGGACAAGCTGTACCGTAGCCCGGCTGGTGACACCGGTCGCCCTCTACGTACACACACCATCGCCACTACCACCGGTTTCCCTTGAGTTTTGCATGTACTGTACACGATTCCATCACTTCTGAACATTAATTTTTAACCTAGACACGTGATTGTGACCACCTTAACAAGCAAGAAAAGGTCAGCAAACACAGGTTGAGAACAGGCTCCCTTTTCTCTGGAGGCTACTGATGAGTGGGTGCTAAGCCTAGAAACTGCTGTCTAAACTATTAACAGTTGGTGGAAGCAAATATTTCTTTATCACAAGTTAACTTTTAAATAAAAGTTTTCTAAAACTTTTCCAAGGAGAGAGAGAAAACTGATTTAGAGCAAGTAAGCCACCCTCCACCTCCAGAATGCAAAGTAGGTTTGTTTTCAAGCATCTCAGGAGAAAGAAGCTGATAAAAGTCCTGTTTGTTTTATTACCCATTGGGGCAACACCCATGAAAATTCAGAAACAACCTTGGCTAGTAGAAAGCACCAGGTTTTGAATAGGGCTTGCTACTCTCAGCTTCTGCTACTGAACTTCACCGGGTCCCTGTGTGCTCCTTAGGTTCAGATAGGCCAGTGCTAGAATTGTCTTCATGTGGTCCTGTGGGAAGATTTGGACTTGCAGTTGAAGTCAGATATGGCCAAAATCCATAAAGCAAATTAGTATCAGGTTATTTATCACATATTATTTCAAGATTCTACTTGTACATGAGAACATTTAAAACAGGCCTCATAACTGTCTTTCAAGAAATCTCTTAGGAATGGATTGGTGGTGGAATGGGAGGAAGGAACTTAGAAAATGCCACAGAAGCTACCACAAGTACTTCTGAAAGTGTTTGTGATCATATGCACACCATCTGCAGATGAATAAATTCCTCACTTACATTTTTCTCACCCAGATAGTCAATAGGTAACTTGTGCTTTCCTTTTCCAAGGTAGCTAATATGAATCTCATTTTTGTAACACCGACAACTATTCAGGTAGATGGTTAATGTGGGTGTGTTTTTCTCTGTGTAGCGTAAGTCCCAGAGTGCCCATTACTGTATCTGAGAACATTGTTGGCTCTGGCTGCAGTGTTTAATAGTCTCAGGTTCTCCTGTACATCTCTCACACCGATCCTTTAGGATTTAATGTACCAGGCATTATTCATGCGTCATAACTGCCATTGACCATAGGGAGTTTTTCTCATGGTCTCACCATTGACAATTTTATGCACTCTGTTCTTGCTCTGCTGCCAGGTTTGTCCAGGATTCATTAAGGTGGTTCATTTTGCCTAAAACTAAAAGAGAAGTTAAACTTTGTTTGACCACTGACATTGTGTTTAGAGTTGCTGGACTTAGAAGTGTCCTCCAGTTTCCTGTACAAGACTATAATTCTTAAATGGTGGTGTGATTACATCTGTTTGCTTGAACAGGTTCTGTGGCTCAGGAAAATGAGAGCAAGCCTGACTGCAGAGTATTCCCAGAGCTTTGTTCATTTTTAGGCATTTGCTTTAGGAGTTAGCATGGTGTCACTGTTCAGTATCACAGGCCACAGATTCCTAGGAAGACTCTGTCGTGCTTCCAAATACTATCCAAAACTAGCATCTTCACACACTTTCTTGTGGTTTCTTTCTGGCATTGCCATTTATAAAGGGCACAGAAGTTCATATGTTTACAATAAAGAATAGCTGTCCCAAGCACTGCAGTTTTCCTCACAGCACTTGCTTGCTATAGCACTTAAATCTGGCTCCCAAATACTGGCCCCCTGGAGGAGACCTGGGTCCTTGCAAGTGAAGTGAAGAACAAGAGAGGGCAGTCACAGTGCCCAGTCTCCAAAGAGATTATTACTGTTTGCACATCTGATAATGTGCAGAGTTCCTCCACTGTAAGACTTTGATGAAGTGACAGCATACTCATAAAGTAGAAATATTTTGAGACACTAGACAGAGACAGTGGCTTGTATTGCATGATGGAGCATGGAATGTGTAAACCCCCCAGTGAGTCAGATACCCAGAGTTGGAAAAGAAATACAGTTTCTGTATTGCTAAGCATGGTGAAAAAAAGCATTTGCTTATCTTAATTTTCCATTCTCCTTTGCCAGTTAGATGGAGTGATGCATGAAAATATTTGGTTGGAAATTTTAAAGATAATTTATGTATATGAGGAACCTTTATCCTGCAAAGACTGTTCCTAGGGATGGAGTATTGTGGACCTAAATTTGCTTCGTCCACATTTAGATGTAACGAGGATAACTGGAAATCTTCATTTTTCTTTTAGATGAGAGAGTTTTGTAGACAGCTGTACAGGATGAGGTGAACCATTTGTAAACATGTCAGAATTTAAAGTTATGTAACCCACTTGTTACCTTTCCAGTTGCAAGATTGGGAATGCTTTTATTACATCTGTTTACATCCTAAAGTGTCTATGTTTAAATGGGCATAGCACATGCTGACCTAGAGTTTATAAAGTTGGAAACAATAATTATTTGCCTCTGGGTGAATTGAAAAATTAATGCAAAGCCACCCACCTAATTTTAAAGCATCACAGTTAGTGTTGATATGTTGTTTATGGTAATGAGTGAGGGTAGGATGCAAATATCTTAGAAAAGACTGTTAATGGACAGCAGGGTTGTTTTCCGTCTCCTTTTCTTGGAGATCTATCCTGAAAGTCTCATAGCCAGCCATCTCTGCACTTAGTTCCTGAAAGCTGCCCTCTGCTGGAGTGCTTTGTTTCTTTTGTAGATTGATCACAGCAATTTTATCTCCCACTTGGGTGACAGAGTAATAAGATAAATTTTCCTTTTTCTTTACCCCTATGCCTCCAGCCTTCATGGTTCCAAGAGTAAATGCTCCTAAAAAATAAATGGCAATGCAGACACTGTAAACAACGTAGTCCCCGACCTGAACTTTTTTGATGCTGGAAAACTATAAAATTAATGTTGGACTTGCAAAGATCATTTAAAGAGATCACCTAGTTCAGGTTGCTATTCAGAAAAATTTCTAATCCACCCTCAAAAAACACTTGATAAAGGAATGAGGTACTGTAGGAAGCTTGGAACCTTAACAGATTCCAGCTTAAAACTATTTGAGGACACAGCTTTATCTCTCAATTTCTGATTAAGTATTTAAAAACCTAATCAATTTGGAATAATTTGAGCTGTTTTTGTAAGTGTGAATTAGTTTCTAAATCAGAATTAAAGTCTTTGGATGTGTAATAGCATAATGGTTGGAGGTACACAGAAATGTTAAGCAAGTCATAGATGCTGTCATCACAAGTTCTTATCACCTGAGTTAATATGGTTAAGTAATAATGTAGGGAACTGATAGGCAATGTTTCAAACCAACAGAAAGTAGTGCTTCTGAAGTATCCAAAAAGTTGGTCCTAAAAGGTTAAAGCTTTACCCTGCCCTGTTCGTTTAGCAGTCTTTATCTCATAGATGACTGCCTTCTCCCTTACTCCTTGATAAATGACCAGAATTTGAGTTTAAGCACTCTGAATTAGTAATATGCTATCATACAGTAGACTCTGTAGCATTCTCTAATAGCATTCGTAATTTGTAAATGATCTCAAAAGTTCTTGACACATAGTCATCTATCATTTTGACAAAGAAAAACTTGAGCTTTTATATTGAGAGTCTGGAGTGGGGCTCTAAGGGTGAGAGTCTAGCCGACTGTCCTGAGCTCACATCCTAAGAAAAGATGTCCCTAACACTCCCTACTCTGTAATGCTCAGGAACTGGTTTCTAAAAACATTGTTTCTTTTTGAAGCACAGATGAGGAAGAAATATGCAATGGTGGCATCTGTGAAATGGGACATACTTTGAGTCCTTTGAGGTATTTAAATAAGCAATTTACTGTATAGGAAAAGCACTTGAAAATTTAACATTAATTTTGCTGGTGTTAATTCATTATGACAAGGTTCCTAGATGGATTTTTTAAAGTATGCACCAATTTCAGAATTCTTCCTGCCATTTTCTTCCCTGACACCCTTGCCAATTGAACTATTTAAATTTTTGGATAAATGGATAAAGCTAGATAAAAATGGATGCAACTGAAATTTTAATACAGTTGATAGTTCAGACTCCATAATGCCAGGGTCCGGCTAACATACAAATTTCAGATTTGGCATTTGAATATCCATACTGTAGATGACAATATGAGCCTATCATACATAACTCTCATGTTCTTCTTGCATGTTGCAAATATCATTTACAATTTATGATAAATACATAGTATAGTACTAGCTCTCTCCCCACAAGAATAGTATTTTAAAAACAGGAACTCTTGGTAACTTGGACCCTCGGTTTCTGTGTCTCCTTTCTTAAGATAAGCTGAAGTAAAACTTGGCATAACACATCTGCTATTCAATGTTAGCAGAATTACCATTCTTCACATTACAAATGCACACAGACACATGTATGCACATATTCATGTACCCTAGGATCTCAGGGACTAAAGAAATAATTAAAAGTGTTTCCTCCTCACAAAAGAACCCAGAGCTCCTTCCTATTTAGAAATGAAGAGAAGTGGAGTTTCAAGGAATCAGGAAATCCCAAGGAATTGGCTTTTTCAGGACCTTATTCCTTTTTTCCCCATCCTTATTCTCCTTAGCAGAAGTGGAATTCAAGAGAAAGAATAGAGCAAAAAAGTCCAGAGGTGGGTGGGACACACGTGTATTTTAGAACTGCTCTGTGAGGATACTGTGAATGTACATTGGCAGGCGGGGCTGGACTAGATCAGACCATGGGAGGTTCCAGTTTTATATAAAGCAAGCACAGAGCACACAGAAGTCGCCAGCAATTCTGTACCCACCAAAAGGAAGAGAATGAAAATAAGGAAGTCACTGTTTCCTCTTGCTCCTGCTTTGTTCTGTTTGCCTCTTGAGACATAGCCCACCTGTCCTGTTTTGGGATGTGTGGTTGTGAATGAGTTACCCTACCTACTGAGTCAGCTGAATCAGAAGATTCCGAGCCAGCCAGAGCCCACTGATTCTTAAATGCTGATGAAAGTATCACCAGTCTTCATCGTTGTTTTTCTTGTGGGATGATTGAAATGGTTCTTTAAGCATACCTTTCAGGACAAAATGCAAACTTTGCATTCAGTACCTGCAGCCCTTCATAATCCAACTCTTGCCTACTGCCTGCACCACCTCCTCTGTACCCTTGCTGTGCTAAGTATAATTCCTGAAGTGACTCACACAGATGCACATTTCCATGCTTTTGCACGCTATGGTTCCCTTCTCTCTGTCTTAAGTCATCTAACTTCTTTTCTACTTCAGTGCCCATCTCAAGCATTCTGTCTCCCGGAAGGCCTCCGCTGTTTCTCTTTCTTCTCACACTTGACTTTATGTGTTTTGAGCTGCTACATCATCTGAGTACATCTCTGTCATTCTAATGACAGGCAATAGCCACCCGTCAAATGTGTATTTTCTGAACTCACTATTCATTCACTCTTCCGTTACCACAAACATTCACTTAATAAATCTTTGTTGAGTACAAGCAGAGTTCAAGGCTTAGACTAGCTGAGAACACAGATAAAAGCACCTGAAAAAGTAAGCAATAATAACGGTCATACAGCTGTACCTGATGCAGTATTATAGCTTTAGATCTTTGACAAAGATTCTGTTAGCATACAACATAATCCAAAGGAAAAGAGAATATTTTGATTGTTAGTAACCTGGCTACTCTGGAACTAGCTATATGATTGTAAAGGTTGTTCTAAATTCAAAGCAAAATCCCCAAATATACTCATCATATACAAGTGACAAAAGTCTTAGACACTGTGGAGCTGTACCTTCTCAATGCAAGCAAGTTGCCCTGAAAATTTTCCAACTACATGGTAAAATGAGAATGAGAAAGACAGAAGGAGGAAAGAGAGGCAGGGAAGGTAGGAGAGGACAGGGTTTAGAATTAAGCACAAAGAAAGCTCAAAATGAAATGGAATTGGGGGACTAATGACTGTGTGCATGCCACCCTGCAGTGTGCCATCTTAAACATAGAAGGGAATGAACACCTCATTTCATTCAGGGCACCCAGCCACAGGAACATTCCCAAGGTCAAGGCCTTGCATTGTGAGTGAGACCATTATCTAAGGCTTTCTGTCTACACCCTGATTCCTGAGGAGGGTTCACAAACTTGGAAACAATGACAGGCATGCTGCCGGCTTTGTCAGTCCTAAGTAAATGAGCTTCAGCCCTTGCCCTCCTGACCTGCGTGTCTTTTTTTCTGCAGAATGGTGCTCAACATGGCAGGGATTCCAGGGCTTCTCTTCCTTTTCCTCCTCCTCCTCCTGCTCTGTATGGTTGGGCAAGTGAGTCCCTACAGTGGCTCCTGGAAACCCACTTGGCCTGCTTACCAGCTTCCTGTCATCTTGCCTCAGACTACCCTCAACTTAGCCAAGCCAGAATTTGGGGCAGAAGCCAAGTTGGAGGTGTCCTCCTCATGTGGACCCCAGTGTCACAAGGGAGCTCCATCACCCACATATGAAGAGGTCAAGCAATACCTGTCTTATGAAACGCTTTATGCCAATGGCAGCCTCACAGAGACCCAGGTAGGCATTTATCTTCTCAGCAGTGGCAGAAGTGGGGCTCAACCCCGAGACACAGAGTCTGCGAGAAAGTCTCGGAGGAAGCGGCAGATTTATGGCTATGACAGCAGATTCAGCATTTTTGGGAAGGACTTCCTACTCAACTATCCTTTCTCAACATCAGTGAAATTATCTACAGGCTGCACTGGCACGCTGGTGGCAGAGAAACACGTCCTTACAGCTGCCCACTGCATACATGATGGGAAAACCTATGTGAAAGGAACACAGAAACTCCGAGTGGGCTTCCTGAAGCCCAGGTATAAAGATGGTGGTCGAGGGACCAACAACTCGAGCTCAGCTACACCTGAAAAGATGAAATTTCAGTGGATCCGAGTGAAACGCACCCATGTGCCCAAGGGATGGATCAAAGGCAGTGCCAATGACATTGGCATGGATTATGACTATACTCTCCTAGAACTCAAAAAGCCCCACAAGAGAAAGTTCATGAAGATTGGAGTGAGCCCACCTGCTAAACAGCTGCCAGGAGGCAGAATCCACTTCTCTGGTTATGACAATGACCGACCTGGCAATTTGGTGTACCGCTTCTGTGATGTCAAAGATGAGACCTATGACCTGCTCTACCAACAGTGCGATGCCCAGCCTGGGGCCAGTGGATCAGGGGTCTATGTGAGGATGTGGAAGAGACAGCAGCAGAAGTGGGAGCGAAAAATTATTGGCATCTTCTCGGGGCACCAGTGGGTGGACATGAATGGTTCTCCACAGGATTTCAATGTGGCTGTTAGAATCACTCCTCTCAAATATGCCCAGATTTGTTACTGGATAAAAGGAAACTATGTGGATTGCAGGGAGGGGTGACACGGTGTTTCTTCCTGGCAGCACTTAATGGCCATTATGTACTCATTGTAGAAGATGCCAGCCTTATCTTTGGCTCTCACGTGTGTGTGTGTGTGTGTGTGTGTGTGTGTGTGTGTGTGTGTGTGTGTTGTATAATGTGTCATATAATATCTTTTACCTAATTTCTTAAAATTGCAGAATGACTGGCTTGTATTGAAAACTAGTTTGTATATCATATCACATTAGCAGTTTGAAAGCATATTTTTGCATAGAAATAAAAAAATATTGACACTTGGGGCAATAGGGTATATTTGGTGATTAAGTTAAGCCTTAACTTTTTTGAGAACTTTGATTTTTATTTCATCTGCTGAACTTGTTTCAAAGGTTTATATTAAATACATGGCATACAGGAGATATGTTTGTGTATGTATGTGTTTTCTTCTGAGATTCGTATCTTGGGTTTTTTTTTAGTGACTAGTTATTAATGCTTACAGATGGTAGTATTTCCACCACATAGAATAACTTTCACAACACTTCTTAGACAGGCATTTATAATAGTTTGGACTTGGAGACATTTGCATGGTAGTCGTTGAATAGTAAAATAATTTATTGGCTGTATTGATGCACATATTAAATTATATCTTACAGTAAGCCAATACCCCAAGCTGCTTTAGTTTTGAAAATAGTTTCTCTTCCAGAGACCGTTGCTCTACTTTGTGAGAGTCTGCATAGGGATCTGCCAACTTTGCAGTCATACCAGAGTAGGCAAGGTCCTTTATCCCAATCCTTCCACTTAACAAGATTTCAGTCCCAATTTTAGAGCTAACTGTTTTTCAAAAGACAATAATCAGGGCCTAATTAGAACAGACTGTATTGCCTCCCAGCTAACAGTTGTGGTCACAATAAAAACAATCATAGCATTTTACCCCTGGAGTGTAGCACATCTCATGTTTTATCATTTGGATGGAGTAATTTAAAATGAATTAAATTCCAGAGAACAATGGATGCATTGGTCGGCAGATGTCACAACAGAATAACCACTTGTTTTGAGCTTGGCACAGTCACACAGCCTGATCAAAAATTATTCTGCATAGTTCTCAATGTGCTTTGGAGTTGTGTACTTGTTCAGTTTAGAAACTTCTCTATCACTGTACTCATTTTATAGTAAAAATACTTGGAAGATGCTTTAAGAAAAACCATTAAGGCTTTCCTCCATTTTTGCTGGAATGTTCTAGTTTATACATATAATCAGTTACGCTAATAAAAATGAAAATTGGGAGAATGCAAAGTGAATCAGAATTATGTGCTCCAATACATGTTTTATAAATGTGATAATCACAGCATATAAAGAAAAGAGTTTGACTTATTCTGTGTTTGCAATTTATTACTCTCAGCATAAGTACTTCTTCCTAATGTATTGGTGGAGAAAAAAGCAAATGGGATATGAGATAACTGTTTGCTGGTTGCCCCTGGGTAATTTGGACCTACATTGTGACTATGAGGACATTCAAATACAGCACTGTCACTTAAACATTCTTCTGGTGGCTTGTGTTTCTTGAGCTTTATAAAAGGATACCCTGATAAGGCACTCAAGACTCTATACCACATGCTTTCAAGTCATATAAGACATACTATGCATGCCAGGCAATCTTCTGGTTCCAGTACAATTTGCTCTGGAATCTAACAGGAATCTCGCCTGAGGAAGAAGAGAGGGCTCTGTTTGTATGGCTGGTATTTCAGTTTTTTGTTTGTTTTTGCTTTGCTTGGTGGGGAGAGGGAGAGAGAGATTGACAGAGAAAGACCCCATAACTAGTTTTTAAAATTGATGCTTTTATGAAATGCACTGATTTCTAAATGTTGATTTCATATAAAGGAAGACAATGGCTCAAAGTCAATGTTTGGCTCAGGAGTAGATATAATTTACTAAAGAATAGTACTTCATAGAACAATAAAAGAAAATTATAAAATAATTCAACAGGTCCATCTTTTCAGTGGTGATAAAAGAAGTGTGATATTAAACTATTATAGCAGTTGAAAGAAAAAAAGCACTCATGATATTAATGTAACTGGTGCTACAGTTATATACACAGTAAACATATATTTCTAAAAAGGCTAATAGAAACATATTTCATGAAGCATGCCACTTAACACTTGTCCTCCAGACTAAAAATAAAATGGGAGTGGTTATGAAAAAGGAGGGAGATTAGCTAGACAGCTAACGCACATCAAAAGCTCTGAAAATTTCTGCATTTCAATAAACATGTCTGGTCATAAAACCATCATTTTCTCATCTAATGCCTAACAGCAGTTTAGCCTTCTAATACATTTTCTGGGTTGCTATAAAAGCCTTTTGGTCAAGGTGATGCGGTAGAAACTATGAGCCCTGGGTATCAATCAGTGCCTTTGGAGCTTAACTTGAACTTGCAATCAGTATTTGAGATTGTTCACCACATAAAATGAGGAAGGATAAACTTGAAAATCATTTGCTGCTTAGAATCAGAAAGGTGTGGCATAATTTGGGACACATATTTTACACAGAATTTTGAATTTTAGAAACTAGTAAAAACATGGGAATATAAAGAGACAAAGAAACATGAGTCAGTAAGTGGAAGAATTGTACATGAATTCCTTCTTTACAGTTTTGGATCAGAAAGGGATTGGAATACTGAGACGGAAATTCCCTGTTCTTTGTGGACCTTGGGCTTCCTGCTTCCTGAAAGGGAAGCCCCCCCAGACATGCCTGGGTCTCACACTTAACTGATACTTCTCTAACAACCCTTAAGGAGATCCAGGAAGTCTTTAACCCAGAACTTTCTGAGGATGACAGCCTGCCTTAGAAGATGACTCTCTGCTAATTAGAGAATAAATGACAGCATTTAGGTGTCCAGGGGAATTCTGGTAGCTGGTCTCAGCAACTCTTCACCCAGGGTTGGTAAGAGTCCTTGTCCAAGGAGACCAGTGGGCTGTGCCTGCATTGGCCTGGAATTCCCTCTTGATTTATCTGGGTTCTGCTGATGTTTGTGTCTACCCTTGTTTTTCATTCTCGTCATGAACCGACTCAAGGATGAACTGAAGTTGCCTCTGTCAGTTGATTTCTATGAATATTTGATAGGGTAGCCATTTAACTTATCCAGAATGGGATGTGTTACAGACTGACTGAAAGGGAATGCTATTAAAACTGAGACAGATCACAAGGGTATACCCAGGACAAACAAGCATGTAAGGTCTCCTTGGCTGCCAAACCATTTGAAACACTGAATAGAATGCATTTTGCTAACCTAGGAACAATGGTGGCTGCAGCTCCCTGCATCTCACAGCTCTGGGCTTTCCTTGTGGTTCCTGTTACATGCCTTTGCTTGGATCAGCATTCTGAGGTCCTCCAGTACGGGAAAGGCATTAAAAAATCCTCTTGATTGGGACTCGAATATGTAGGTAGTAAACATGGAGTCTTTCTAACAGTGTAGCACAACTCTTTTTAGTCTGGTATTTCTCCAGAGGAAGAAATAAACCAGCTTCCAGGACAAGAATAAACAAAGGGCAGCAGAGCAATGCAGAAAGATGTTGCCTTGGAGTCAGACAGACTGATTCCATGGTTGCCTGGTTCCTTTTGGCAAATAAGTCTCAATTCAGTTTGACTTAAAACTTAAATTCACCTATCTGATTTCCGGATCCTCCCTTTTGTGTCTCTAGCTCCTCCAGTACACTGGGATGGAGCAGAGGGAGAGGGAAAGGCCAAGCATCTCTACCTGATTCACTGTGAATCCTCAGTGGTTGCCTTTTCTCCTTAGCCCTTACCTCTGTTGATGTAACCATCTGCCTCAAGCAGTAGGGGCACCATTACCTAGAAGAACTCCCTCTTGAATGGAGAGCAAGCCAGATGCCTCAAGCCCACTCATCCTCTTCCACACCCACATCAGCCTTGAGAAACTCACAGGCTTCTATACCTTACTGAGCTGCCCACTTTTCAGTGGGCAGGGGCTCTGGAGAGGGGCTAGAATGTTCCAGGTTAAGTGAACTGAAGTTCAAGAGCCCTGTCAGGATTAAATTTGGTCTGTTCAAGAGCCAGATGGAGGTGAGTGGATCCAAGGCAGAGTGAACAAGAAAGATAGCATCCAAAGAGGAGTTCAGAGAGACAGGTTTTAGCCAGCTCATGTAGAAATTATGAGTTCTGGCAAGGACTCTGGAATTCATCTACTTGATAGGAGATACAGTCAAAGGACTTTTACTAGAGGACCTGGTGAGGTCTAATCAGGACCAGCTTATTCATGAGGTACAGTAGGCAGTGGCTAGAGCCCACAATAATCTTGGCGATCCACATAGATGTTTGACTTTCTTTTAAAATCAGAAGAAAAAAACTGAACTTTATTTCCTAGTGAAAAATTTTGATATGCAATATTAATATAGTCATCTTTATACCAATGCAATTATAAAATACAACTTTTAGTATTTTTGCATAATGAAAGGGCCTCTGAAGGCAGAAGTGTCTAGGGCCCTCAGAATTCATAATGCAGCCCTGATTCACACTCTACAATATCTCTTTGGATGATAAAGGGAGAGTGGATTGTAGAGGGTGAAAATGGAAAAGCTAATAATTCAGATAAGAAGTAGAGGCAGCTTTGATTAAGGTGGTAGGAATATTGAGTAGTATTCATTTGGAATAGAGTATATATTTGAAAGTAAAGCCAACATGAATAGGTTGTGGTAAACAGAGGAATCAAGAGTGATTGCATGGGGTTGGGCTGTAGCTCAGTGGTAGAGTGCTTGCCTAGCAGGTATGACACCCTATGTTGGATCCCTGGATTCAATTATCAGTACCTTCTATCCCTCCAGAAAGGAGTCTTAGGTTTGGGGCCTAAATATCCAGGAAGATTCCAGGCACCATTTGCTGAGATAGGAAAGATGATTAAGATGGGATGTGTTGAAACTTGAGATTTGTGTGTGTGTTGCTCACATTAGGTTTAAAATGTCTAATCGACATCCACATGGTGATGTCAAATCTTCGACAGCAAAGTTCAGGAGAAGGAACTTGAAGAGGTGTGTAGATGGTGTTTAAAGCCACAGTGTGAGACAGTATCACCTGGGGAGAGAAGGAGGCTTGAGAAGAGTGCTAAGGACCCAGCTCCTGTCTATCAGCACTTAGAGACTGGATTCAGTAGAGGAAGAAAAGGAAGAGGAGACAGCAAGGAAGATAAGCAGCAGCCAATGAGGTCTGGAGAAAAACAAGAAAATGTGGCTATACAGAAAACAAGAGAAGAAAGTTTGAAGTCATGTAGGGAGAGCAAAGGAAAAACATGGAACAAAAATCAGGTTTTGTTTTAGGTGTTGAGAAATGTGCCTCTGGCCCTGGTGGGCAAGAGGAAGTTGGGAACAGGGGATGAGGGGATGTCTATCTAGTCTTGCAGACCCAGGCTCTTTCCATGAAGGGCACAAACTTCCTTGTGCATCTCTGTGTTCCTCACCACACATGTACAGGCCCCTTCTTACCTATTGTACACAACCAAGGCCTGTGCTTGAATGATTGATTAACCAAATCCTTCCAAGGAGACTTGCAACAGCCCTGCTCACAGGATGTGCACCCAGGGCCAAACCTGCCCTAGGGAAGTGCAGGCTTCAGTGGGCCATGAAAATGTGAGCCCAAAGAGGTGCGTGGTCACCCCTCTTGCCTACCAGGGTGTTTTCTGAGAGGGAGAAAGTGCAGGATGACTCTTCAGTGTGGTATTTGTGTATTCATGTGTATAAAATACCAAGTGCTCTCTTAGTCTTGATTTATCACTGCCCTTGTCTTCAGAGTATTAAAAGGGCTTAAGGTGCTCTCTTCGACAAAGAGCAAGGGCAGTTTTGAGAAGCATCAAGTTCCAATCCAATGAAGCAAAACTGATGTGTTTGCATTGGAGAGAATGAGGAGAATCTCAGGAAATGAAATAAGCAGAGCAAGGGGAAGAACAAGGAGCAGCAGCCGTGGGAAAACTGCTGGGTCTTGACATCAGTGAGCTGTCTTCACAGGAAGGCCTCCTGGCCATCCTCTGCCCCTGCCCTTCCCTGCTTTACTGACTCTGCTTAGCACTTACTACATCTCACACACACTACGTTACACTTATTTGTCTTGTTTGTCCTTCTCTGCCACAGGAATACAATTTCATGTGGGC